CCCCACCACCCACTGCACTGGATTCCGATGATAAAGCAACTTGCATCTACAGAGGCAGTCGTGCCTGGCGTGTTACGGGCACATGCAGGGCATGGAAATTAAGCTACTGTGGCTTTCCTTCCTTCCCTAATCATGCATGTCAGGCCAACATCAACTAAGCAAAGCAAAATATCCTAGGGGAAGTAGATATCTGAGGAGATATGACCAGGAAAATTGACCCGACAGCATGATAAACCCCACTCAAGAGTTGAGCATGGATCCATGTGAGTTGCCGGGGCTGCCTGGCCTTTGTCTGAGAAACTCTCATACTCAGGGTCTCCTCCTGCTCACCCGTAGAGTCTGGCCTGGAGAGAAGCCCCTCATCTCCGTGCCTCTACTCCATCCCCCTCCTGTTCTGTCTCACATTCCAATTTGGATTCTTCTCAAGTCCAGGCAATGCCAAAAGCCATTATCCTTCTCGCTCACAACAGCTGCTCTTGCCAGGGGTCTCCATGGAGTTTTCATTCCAGCAGAGGCCAAATGGCAACCGGGGGCAGCCCAACTCAGCTGATCCCTCTGAGCCCCAATAGGCACCTGAGGGAGGCTCCTTTCGGATGGAAGCGAGAGGAGGGGGAATCAGCGGGATGGGGGCACCTAGTCGGAAGCAGCCCTGCTCAGCAGATCTCCCTTATCATGGGACAAAGGGAAGAAGAAGAGAACTGCTTGGCAAGACACCCATCCAGTTCGCAAGAGAGGCATTCCCAACCTGGTGCTGCTCAAGCACATTTGTGACAAATGGTGAGGATGATGGAGAGGTGACACTCACTGGCAGTGATGAGGGGGAGGTGGCGCTCACCCTGTTTTCTTGCACCGCTTTGTCAGAGAGATGGTCCGGTGAGCAGGAGTGATCCCAGGGGGCCAGCTGAGCGGCACAGTCCCCAACTGAGCACTCCTGAGCAGCTGATCCTCCCCTTCCCCATCACTTACTTGAGGGGCATGTTCAGGGACAGCAAGGGAATCAGATGAGGGGAACAGCCCCAAACTAGGTGCTACCACCCAGTTGGTTTTTTTCACCCAGCTGCTCACATGAGGAACTTTCCTTAGGCCCATGTGCAGTGGGTGGCAGGGGAAAGAGATGAATGGAGTTGCTCCTTTTGCTTCAGCATCCAGCCAGTCACCCACTCTTGATCCAAAGAAGAACTTCAGGGCAGGAAGTAGGCAGAGAATGGGTGCCTCTGTTGGGGACTCCCAGAAGAGCAGCTGCAGGGATGTATGCTCAGATCCACAGGGAGGCACAACTTGAATTGATTATTCCGTGTCCGACACTCTGGCATCAGCAAGAAGATCTTGACCTTCCTTTTTGTGACAGTCTTTGAGGTACTTGCAGAGGGATATCATGTCCCCCCTCAGTCTTCTCTTCTCAAGGCTGGACATGCCCAGTTCTCTCAGTCTCTCCTCAAAGGGCAGTGTTTCCAAACCCTGGATCATTTTTGTTGCCCTCCGCTGGACCCTTTCTAATTATCCTGATCTTTCTTACATCTTGGTGCCCAAAACTGTACACAGTATTCCTGATGAGGTCTAGTGAGGAGTGCAGAGGGACTACTACTTCTCTTGATTTGGAAGTAATACTTCAGTTACTGCATCCCATTTGCCCTTTTGGCAGCTGCATTGCATTGTTGGGTCATGTTTAGCCTACTGTCCAAAATTACTCAGAGATCTTTTTTTTCCAGTTCTGTTGAGCCACATATTCCCCATCTTGTATCAATGCATTTGGTTTCTTTTTCCAAGGTGAAGGACTTGGCACTTGTCCTTATTGAATCTCGTTCTGTTGCTTTGAGCCCAGTGTTCGAGTTTATCAAGATGGGAAAGATAATGGACAGGCTCATAATAGCAAGAGATCTAGTGATGCTAGATAGGGAAGGGAGGTTGGGGGCCATGCAACATGGTTTCCACAAAAGCAGGTTCAGCCAGATAAACCTTGTGGAATTCTATGAGAAGGGTTTGAGGTGGCTGGATGGAGAGGATGTGGTGGATGTGGTTTACCTGGATTTCAGCAAGGCCCTTGACAAACTGTCGCATGATATCCCAGTTGAGAGATTGAGGAGTTTTGGGACAGACCAATGTACTGTCCAATGGATTAGGGCATGGTTGATGGACTGAAAGCAGAGGGTAACTATTAGTGGGGAATCATCAGGATAGCGGCCAGTGATATGCAGAGTCCCTCAGGGCTCTGTCCTGGGACTGATCCTGTACAATCTTTTCATCAATGATCTGGAAGAGGGGGTGACCAGTCTGCTGATCAAATTCGCAAATGATACTAAAACTGGGGCAGTGGTCACAACTGAGGAGCAGGTACTCTGGATCCAGAAGGCTCTGGGCAGACTATGGAAATGGGCAGGGGACAGCAGGATGGCGTTCAATGCAGATAAGTGCAAGGTCTTCCACTTGGGGCATAGGAATGAGTGTCGTAAGTACAAACTAGGGGACAAGGGCAGCATTGGGAAAGGGATCTCAGGTACTGGTCGACCGCAGGCTAAACATGTTAGCAGTGTGACGCGGCGGTCAGGAGAACAAATGCCACCCTAGGATGCATAGCCAGAAATGTGACTTCTAGATTGAGAGAGGTATTACTACCACTCTATATGACTGTGGTCTGCTCTCAACTGGAGTACTGTGTTCAGTTCTGGGCTTCACATTACAGAAAGGATATAGCAAGGTTGGAATCGGTGCGGTGAAGGGCTGCAGGGATAGTGGCCAGATTTCAGAGGAAGCTGTATGAGGCAAAACTAAGGGACTGGGTCTTTTCAACCTGGAGAAAAGGAGACTCCGAGGGGATCTGTTAGTGACATACAGGTATGTGAGGGGGTGTCATGCAGAGGTGGGTCATGATCTTTTTTCCCCTGTGGATGAAGGCAGGATGCATTCCAATGGAGCAAAGCTCAGGGGACCAAGGTTCAATTTGGATGGCAGGAAGTACTTCCTGACAGTTAGAACCCCGAGGGTCTGGAATGGGCTTCCGCAGGAGGTGGTTGAGGCCCCATCGGTGAGGGTGTTCAAGGACAGACTGGACTTGGACATGGTAGGCATATCGTGAGCGGAGCCGGCTAGAGTCAGGGGTCAGACTAGATGGCCCAGGAGACCCCTTCTGACTTGCTTTGTTTCTATGTGTCTAAGTAAAGTTTTGTGTTTCTCCCCACCCTATGACATTAGTATAAGTGCAAAGGGACACATTTGGAGAGATCTTTAAAAAGCAGGAGGAAAAATTTGGCAGCACTGTCTGACCCCCATGGACTGAAGCCAGTGGGATCAGTACCCAAATCCCCCTTCACTCAAAAGCAACTGTAGCCCCTCTTCTCATGTCCTTCCCAAGAGTAAGCATTGCCAAAGTCAATAAAGTTTACTTCCAAATACACGTGTACTCCATTGACATAAAGTGACTTTCTTCTGAGTATCACCAAAGCTCATGTGTTTTTCTTCTTGGAAATGGGGAGGCAGCGTTGCATTTTCTCTCCTGTTCTTCACTGGACAAGTCAAAGGGAGATGAGCTGTGGGGTGGGACGAGGAGAGCAGGGAAGTAACTGAAGGCAGAGCCGACTTGTTTCCTTCTCCCAGAAGCCTGATAAGACACTCGCTCTGGCAGCACCGCTCTGCATCCTGTCACCAGCCTGTGAAAGCCACTGCTCCTCCCTCCAGAACGGTACTGGAAGGTTAACAAATACCGGAATAGGAACCTTGGGGAAAATGCAGCGAACAGAAAGGTCATGACGTGACTGCCAGTGAGGTGTGGTGGTTGAAGTGTTTGGCTGGGGCGCCTTTGGGCCTGCTGCTCACTCTCAGCCCACCCTGTTCCACAGGGCTGCTGCTGGAGTGGAGAAGGAGGTCGCCCTGGGTTCCACCCAGAAAGAAGGACGTCGTCATAGCAACAAACAGGATACCTGGCGTGCAGAAAGCCAAGACGTCATGGCATAAACTTCATGAGCAGGACAGATTGTAGGGAGCATCATGTGACATACCAGTTGGTCAAGTGCTCCAATGCCAGTAAAAATGCCTCATGCTACCTGAAAACATTCATCACGTGACCCTGAGTGAAAAGGCCTGCCCTGTAGTGATGCCACAACCCTCCTGGTGGTATCTTTTTGTGTATCTCATACTAAAAATTGCAGAGAATTTTTAACACCTAGTTTAATTGTTAGCTATTTTAAAATAAAATGTAGTATACATTTGCTGCCACCAGGTGTGCCTTGCTTTAAATGTTGGCTCTATCTTATTGCTTTTAAAAGTTGCTTGTTGTATTTCTGTTATTACGTTGTACATAACACTGGCGACTTTGAGCAGAAGACTGATGATAGAAAAGAAACAGAGGAGGCATTTTAAAGTTTCTAACACTGTGAAGTTCCATAAGCCACATTAAAATTGATTGTTTCTGACTAGCCTCATGTTTATTAATGGTAAAATGGATAATGAAAAGAAGAACATAGAACTTGTATGGCAAAGTGTTGCTGCTGTGCCCTAAGGTCTAGATAGTAAGTTAGGGACTTGTTCTAATTCTGACTGAAGAAAAAAGAAAAGAAAAGAAAAGAAAAGAAAAGAAAAAGCAAATGTCTCCACTTTCCACACCTTCCTATCTGACAGATTGTAGATATAAGTTTTTGAGAGCAGGGAGTTATTCTTTTATGTATGCACACTTAGAGCAACATCAAAGTAAGCAAATAAAATAGCAATCAGTTGATGCACTGCTATGAAATTAATGATCACTGTGAGAACATTTCTTTAGAATTTGTCCAAGAAGTTTCTAGCATTTCTGGAAGGAAGTAGTTTGAAAAGAAATATAGTGGAATGAAATTCTTCAGTCAAACAACTCTAGAAATGCTCTGCTCTGTTGGTTTTAGTTGTAAAAGAAAGACTGAAGCAAGGTCCAACTTTTTTTTTTATTTGGGCTCAGGAGGCATTGGCGTGTGCGTGCGTGTGTGTATTTTCATGTACTATCATTCTGTCTTACCATCACTGTAACTTATTAATTGCTGCAGCATCACTCATCTTGAAGTGATCCATTGCTTTCTTCTATAGGGAGGCAAACTCGCTGTTGCCTGTAGGCAAGTTTCTGGACACCCTCCCCAGCTGCTGCTCTTCTCCTACCAAAGCGTCCAACAGGTCGGATCCCTCGCCCTGTATACCAGGAAGGGTCGATATCAGGATCTGAAAGGCAAATCCCAGGAGATGAGATGAGAGGCTCGTGCAAAGCAACAGTTTGGCCACTTTCATAGTAGAAGACTTCCATGGGCCTACCTTATGCATCCCACACATGCAGGCCCACTTTGAAAGGCTGCTTCACTGAACTGAGACAGTGCCATGAGCTGACGCATCAAGAGTATTATGGAAACTATTGATGATGATTTCTATCAGCAGCAGCAACAACCCGTCAAAGGGAAGCATGAATGAACACTGGCAATTGGCAGCCATGATTGATCGCCACACTCCAACCTCTCAGTGCTGTCCCAACAGTCTGGGGGAATGGGAGGGGCTGCATACGGGGGGCAGATAAAAGCCGTGTAGAGAAACCCTCCTCTGATTCCACATAGTAGCCATCTTAATTCCAGCAATCTGTCGCTTGAACCTCCCAGTCCTGGGAATCTTTCTCTTGAACCTACCTACTCCAAATTCCTTTGCCAAGTTCACATTCCATCTTATTTGGTTTGAGGATTGAGCTATGCATCCCTCCTTTTGTTCTGGTTGTCAAACCAGTTAAAAGCAGTTGCCATGTACTTTAGATCACTGCATTTCCTGGTGTGTGACTATGAGAAAAAATGCACATGCAGAGCAGCTGTAGACTCCGTGAGAGCATTGCCTTCTGCAGGCCCTTGGCCAGGTGGAGCTGCCAGACCCGGGCTCCACAGAGCAGGCCTTTGTCCCCATGATAGGACAAGTGTCTCCAACAGGCAGCACAATGATGCTGTGGGGAACTGCCCTGCCCTTTCATTGTACAGCTGCTGATCAGGAAAGTTCTTGTGGGGAACAAGACGGGCAGTGGGACAAGCTGCTGGGCATTGTGGCCAGTTGTTGCCACACTTCTGCACCCAGCAGGCACTTGAGGATTGGGGGAAGAACACTGGCAGTGAGGAAAAAACTATTTGGGTGGGGTGGGGTGGGGTGGGGTAAGGAAGAAGAGAAGAGGAAGCACGGTGTCCCCTTTGCAGGCGTGGAAGAGCAGAGCAGAGCATATGTGATGGTAAGGGAGGGGCAAGGTAAGGCACAATCTCCTTGGAGAGAGAGAGAGAGTGAGAGAGAGAGATTTGGGGTAGCTTGTAGGATGACTGACCCTAAGATAGCAACTGTCTTTGATCCCTTAGGAGAAAAAGTTCTCCCCTCACTCATCCCCAGCATGGCCAGGGAATAGGTGAGAAACGGTCTTAAAAACCCTCAGTCTCCGTTGCCACAAGACCTCGGAGCAGTGGAAGTGGGTGGGTTCAAGGCTGGATCCTCTCTTTGTATGGGGACTTCTAGCTGTAGGCCAGCAAAGAAGCAGCCAGGCAAGGGAGGTCGGTGAAGTGATAGCAGAGGTCCAGAAGTCATCTTAACTCTTAGCTTTGGTTTTTGTTTGTTGTCTTGCATATCATTTGTCACTGGCCTGGTGTAGGTTGCTTCTGGACTCTGTCATTCTGGAGCATAATGAGAGAGAGAGTTTTATTCCTCTGGCACTTTTCCAAGCCTTTGGTCCCTTCATTCAGAGAACAGAGCGTTTACTCTAATTTTGAAGAATAAACTGAGTTTTTATTTTGCGTATTATTCAGTTCACTCTGTATTTCAGTAATTTTATGTATTTCTAACATTGCTGTTTCCCATCTGGTTCTCTCCCAGGTTGCTTATGGCTCTATTCTCTCAGTCTGGGATACATTTTGCAGCAATTCTTAATCAACCTGCCCTGCTGTTGAGGCAGCTTTACTTATGTGGGATAAAGCTAAACATAGTTCCATGTGTGATTTTTCTGTCAGGTTTGGGTCGTGGCTCAGCTCTGCTCTCTTATTTGGGAGCACACACTGGACACTTTCTCCTGGCAAATTTGATTACTGTAGTATATTTTACAGCTCCTGTTTCCCCTTTGAGCCTTTTCTATCCTGAGCAATGTGTGGATAAAGCTTGGTTCCCCACAAGAACTTTCCTGATCAGCAGCTGTACAATGAAAGTCCATAATGCTGTGGCAGATGGTCATTCCTCCACATGCCATACACAACCTCCCACCCAATTGCATTTCCTTAGCTATCCCAGATCTAAAGTAGGAGAAATGGGGTGAGGCTTAAACAGTAATTGGCACAAAAGGGTTTGAGGGGGAGCCTTTCCAGGCACTACAAAACTAGGGGACTAAATGCTCTCTCTTTACCAGTCTAGCCTACCGTAACTGGAAAAAAAGCCATTTCCATGCCACTGGTGGAAAGCCTTTGTAAGGTTCAGTACTGATCCTGTGAGCTCTGTCCAAGGATCCAGCCATGTTGGGCAGCCAGGAGTGTCTGGAAACACACACATACTGGATGTGCAGTCTGTCCAAACGTAACCAACCCTGGCAGAATCGCCACCCTCAGATGCTGGATCTTCCCCATTCCTCTGTCGTACATGGTAACCTGAACGAAGAACTTACTTCTGATTTCCATGGATTGCTCAAGGATGCGGGATTCAGTATCAGGCAGCACAAGGCAGTCCAGCAGAAGGAAACACAGGAGGCAGGCAATGAGGAGTCTCATTCCGTTCGGCTTTCCCCTGCCTCTTCAAAGTTCCCGTGACTTGTCTCAATGGTGTAGGGAAATGCCCACCAAATCTGCAGGCACATTTGAGAGAGAATTATGTCATCAATCTTGTACAAGGAAAGTTCAAGGAAAGAAAGTGCACCTGGTGGGCATGTCGTGAGCGGAGCTGGCTGGAGCTGGGGGTCAGACTAGATGGCCTGGGAGATCCCTTCTGACTTGCTCTGTTTCTATGTTTCTATATTTCTATGTTTCTACTCTTCAAAAGAGGTGTTCAGTGTATGACAGTACAAAATTGCAAGAAATTTGGAATCTGAATTTCAAAAAGTATTTTTTTTAATTACCTGTGGGTATTAGAATTTTGGCACCACTGATACAAAACCCACTTTTCATGGTTGTCAGTAAGAGATGATGAGCATTGGAAACTTCACTGATTGTGATCAAAAAATCATTTGTTATCCCCCTTTTTATTCCTTCCTATTGAATCCTTCATGTACCTTTTCACTTAGATTTTAGGTTTGCGGCCATGGGTTAATTTTATTGGGCATTAATTTTATTAGTTATACTGAACAGGGCCTTGTTTTTAAGTACTTAAGAAATACCACAATGGCATTATTGTTTCTGAAACAGATTGGTAAATTGGCCGTCCACTGAAGAGACAATGATAGAGGCGCTGTCTTAATTGCAATTAGAATTTCCAAGGGATTTGGAATTTTGAAACTTTACCCACAGTCTACCATATGCTGCCTCTAGTAGTTTCTTGGAGTGGATCTATGCCCATCAATGCAAACTTAATGAATTTTCTCTTCTTGAACCTAAATGCAGGTCAGAAAGTTGTTTGGCATAAACTCTAATTACATTTCCAAAGTTTGCAGTGCAGTTTGCAATATATACACAAATGCATTCAGTGCAAACAATGTGTACATAATTATAAATGTGCACAAATAATATGTATGTTTCAAAAATGGCATACAAACACTTAATTCAATAGGAAAATTTCTTGAAACAAACACACACACACACACACACACACTAAAAGTACACACAAGGTATACTTCAGAAGGAGGTCTGAATATGTACCATTTTTGTGCAGACTAAACATAAAATAAAATTACAATCTGATGTGGAACTGGGACTGAATCAATATTGCACCAGAAAATAAGAACTGGAGCTTTATCAAATTTGGTATGTTCACCCTTTTTACGCCATTTACTACTATGAGATAAATAAACTTTTAGTTTACTCTTTTAAGAATGTAGTTGTGAAGGTATTTGAAATATAAATGCTAACATTAAGCTTATGTGGATTCACCTAAAGAGGCTATGAGGTCCAACCTACAGGTGATGCTAACTGCATGTGCATATTTATTATTTATTTGTTTATTTATTACATTTCCTTCCTGCCTTTCGCCCTCTTGCAATGAGTTCAAGGTTGCGTATGTGATCATCTGCTTTATCCTCACAACTCTGTGAGGCAGGTTAAGCTGAGAGTCAGAGACTCACCTTATGAGAGTCATGGCCAAAGATGGACTTGACCCCAGGTTGCCCAAGTCCCTCCCTGTACAACTCAAACTTATACGAAGACTTGAAAACGGTTAACATGAAAGTTAACAGAATAAAATAGAAATCGCAAAGGGAATGGTAGAGTTTTTCATTTCCTCCATTTCTGTAAATCACCTCATAGAAGGTGCAAACCGATACCCTTGGGAGTAAATCTCTTTAAACTCAGTGGACTTTCCTTTTTGGTAGGCATGTATGGGATTGCAGTGTGAAGCTGATATGCAAGAAATGCAAGCAGCGGCTTTGAAGTGGACCCTTGTGGGGATGTGCTGTCTCCCTCTCCATTCCTGCTGGTCTCACTGCTGCCTGAGCCTCCCGTGCCGCACGTCAGCTGCTATTTCTATGCTAAAAATATTAGCTTCCAGATGGCTCATATTCAGATCTTGCCTGGGCCATGAACTCATCAGGTGAGCCTTAGGCAAACCTGCCTCTCTTCCCTCTCATATGTATTGTCATCATCTGAGGATAAGAGATGATAACATAGAAACACAGAAACATAGAAACACAGCGAGTCAGAAGGAGTCTCCTGGGCCATCTAGTCTGACCCCCGGCTCTAGCTGGCTCCGCTCACGACATACCCACCATGTGCATGTCTAGCCTATCATAAGATAAGGCTGTTACAGTGTGAATCTTTGGTTTAAGTGTAGGCTGTTATTTTATTCTTTGGAAGTTCTGCACACTTCTTCTCCTTTAGATGCTGAAAGAGTGTAAGACCAGTTCAGCTACCTACCTTGGAATGGCATTCTCTGCAACAAAGCAGCCGTTTATCTGGAACATATTTATAGGGTAACGTATTCTTGAGTGCGTATGCCTCTGGCGCCAGGGCAATGGGAGATGTTCACCCCTGAGAGCACCATGTTAGAGCTTGCTAGAATGTGCAAATAATGTGCAAAGGTCTCAAGTAATTTGCACTTGCCGCTAGTGCTCGGGGTTTGAGATTTCTGCTTCAACAACCCGGAGGAATGTGGCATTCCATTTCTAGCCTGGCAGATGGGGCAACATCAGCAATGCCTGCTCAAAAGGTCGACCTGAGGCTTATGCGACTGGGACGGCATATAAAAACACTAAATAAATACGTAAATAAATAATAAAAATAGGAATGTAGTAGTGCTGTTAAGTTGCTGGCTTTGCGGGTGGGGGCTGGATTCAGTTTTCTCCTTCACCACCTTAGAGCCCTCAGACGTCCTAAGTGGCACAATTATCGATGATCACGCGGGACTGCAGTAGCTAATCATTCATACGGCTGGACTGGGAGGCCCCTTCCTTTAAAATCTTACTTTCAAAACTTACTTCAAAACCAAAATATTTAACTACTACAAGACTGAACACTTGATATTTTGATGAATTTGCATCCCCTGGCTCTTTGTAAATTCAATTATATAAAAATTCTCACCCTGATTGCAACTTATGCAAGCGAATAATAAGCAGTATTGTCTTCTTTGCAGAAAGGTTGGTGTTGTTCATTCAGGGTCTTCAACCTGAATTTAAGGAAAAGGAAATGATGGGAAAATTATTTTTTAAAGGAGTGAAAATTCCTAGGATCCAGAACAATGCCTTAGGATTCAGCTCTACACGGGACTGGGATGGAGGGAATATTCTGTATTCAGAACATCCAACCCCAACATTTTAGGCACCAGGGTAATAGGACATCTGAGACTCTTCTTTACCATAATGCCTGCTTTTCTTTTTGGGCAAGAGGGGTGAAGAAACCTGAAGTGCACTTTTGTATGAGCAGGGCTCCAGTGCTACGACTGTCTCTGTGTGCAAGGGGCAGTCCTCTTTGTGGAACCTGAGCTGTTTCTGAGTTTCTGTTCCACCCGCCCCACAGGGAAGCTGCTTAGAAGTATGCTTACTACTCAGTAGTGAGTAGTAGCTCCCTTTCTCACTGGCTCTCCTCACAGGACAAATGCAATAGCCATAAGATTACAGCTCTAGTACTTGCAACAAGGTTTTGAAAAATGGTCAGAAGCTATCATTAGCATGCGACTTTTAAGACAGTTCATCTAACTCTTAAAAGGCTTCATAGGCAGAACAGGCTGAATGCTTGACTACCACAGCCACTGATGGCCAACCAGCTCTGACAATTCAGATTTCCTCCTGAAGGGTGAAAGGGAGAGGAAGTGAGTTCTTGAAAGCGTCTTTCTTTCAGCTTTGGATGTGTACTAGGGATTGAGAAACTCGGTCTATGTGCAGCCTTGATCCAGCAGGAAGAGTCATGTGTGCCTCCCTGACCGGCTGCTGTGGCTTTCTTCCTGTTGCAGCCTTTCCAAGAATGGGGATCGATCTGGACGTGGAAGCATTTTCTGGTGTTCAGATCATCTGTACTGAAGTTGCTGAGGCATATTTTTCTGCATCTGGATGTACCTTGCTGTGTTTACAGCATTGGAAGAGATTTTGGAGGCTATTCAGGCCAACTTCCTACCAAAGGCAGGCTCAGCAGTGCTAAAGTATCCCTGAGAGGTCACTATTCAGCTTAAGCGAAAATGAATCTGGTGACAGAGAACCCAGGTCTTTCCAAGGCAATCTGCTCCACAGCTGAACAGCCTTCACTGCTAGGAAGTTTCTTCCAAGGTTTAGCCAAAACCTGCTTTTCTTTAATTTCCATCCATGCATTCTAGAACAAAAGAGAGCAATTCTGGTCCATGACAGGCTTCCAGATATTTGAAGACGGCTGTTATGCCTCCCCTTCATCTTCTCTTCTCCCGGGTAAAGTTATGCTGTCTTCATAGGACTTGGTTTTCATGTTGATTTCTCTTCTCTGAATGTGTTCCAATTTATGTTCCTCTTAAAAGATGTTGCCCAGAACCGGACAACATTGCTACTGCAACCTGAATAAAGCAGAGTAGGGTGAAACTATTCCTTCCCCTGACCTGGACACACTGTTTCTGTTTAATGCAGCCTATGATTGCATTAGCTTCTCTGGCAGCCATATGGCACTGCTGGCTAATATTCAGAAAAGGACAGAATTTCTTTTCAAGTATGCTGCTGTCAAGCCAGTTTCTCTCTCTTATACTTGCACGTTTGATGGGAAACTTTATGTTTCTCTTTGTTGAATTTCATCTTGTTCGTTTCATGTCACTTGTGTGTAGACATGAAATACAATCATAACATTATATCCCGAACACTTTAGAAGTCTGCAAAAATGTAACTGAGGCATCTGTTAGCAGCAAAACACAGAAACAGTATGTTCTGACAGCCCATGCAAACCAGTGACGACAGAGTGTAGCGATCCAATGACAGTTTAGGCATGGCGCTCACAGCTCTACTGTGGCCAAGTTGCTGTTTCCTAGTTAGACAACTGGAAAACTTCCTCACCTCTTGTCCTGTGGGTATCCATTCTTGTTGACTTCTTATGGTATGCTATATACTTAAAATAATCAAACAGCAATTGTACTCTTGAGAATCCTGCACATTTTAAAGTGTTAGAAGCCATTAATTACA